CGAACGGCTATCCATCACGTCACCCTGCCTCCGTATTTTATCTTATTATACATTATTCTAGAGACCAGAATATAACTCTTGTCAAATCACCATACACGGTCTCTATCAGCTGATGTGAAATACTTGATATTTTATTACATGAATCACCAAAACATTTACCTGTTTTATAACAATACCAATGTTGATTATGATTATGATGATTGTAAGCACGTCCGGTCCCACTAAGGAATGCTGGGAGCAAAATGGATCCAGCGAGAGTTTGAATGAAGCTGTTAAGATTACCACGTCATGTGTCGTCTTTGTGTTGCTTTGACTTTTCAGCGGTCAGTCTCGGATAATTTCTTTCCACGCCCAGTGAAACAACCTGCAAAAAGTTGTTTTGTCGTAAAACTCTATAAAAGCATATTTCTAAGACTGAAAAGATTTTTGGAATGGTTTGTAAAATGGCATGCATATTAATGGAATACACAACATCCAGTAATGACACAAAATGCTTTCATTGACCAATTTGGTACATTGCGAAGAAAATCCCATATGAACTCAATTTATGAACTGGTTTTACAAAAAAGGTTTTATAATACCAATTTCAATCCTGTATTTCTCGTTCCTCACGTGGAAACTAGTGGAGAAATCTTTCTCAACAAAAAGAACTACTATATTCAAGAAATTTGTTAACTGTGACCACCCCCTCGCAAAATACTACTATTTTGCACTCCTTTTTCAACCAGAAATAAAAGCTGTTGAACAGTTATTTTCAAGCTTTGGTTTTCTTATTCATTTCACTCACACTGCCAAGCACAAACATACACGCCACCGGCGAAATCCCAACAAGATATATATAATCTGAAAAATATAAATGTTAGGGAAAGTCGTTAAAAACCAATGGTAAAATATATTTTTGAATAAAATCTTTAACGATCAATTGCCTTTTCTCCCCCCCCCAACCTTTAACTATATGCCTCCTTATATTATAACTATTTAGTATTTTACTGACCAGAAAGCTGCGCTGACCTGAGAAATGCCACAAGTTATTTGAAAAAACATTAAACCTGTATTTTTGATAAGAACTAATTAAAACGGACTTGTTTTGTTTGCTTGATCGACCTGGAAGTCAGTTTTCACAGGAACCCTACAATAGAATCTGATTATAACAAATATACGAAAATCCCCAAAATAGATTAGTGAGGACTTTTGAATGTTGCATTGAGACCAAAACATCTTTGTCAACATTTAATTTCCTGGTCCAAATCTGTATTATCCAGACTATCTATTTATTTATTCGCATGTGATCAAAGTCATTTGTAAAAAAAAAAAAAAAAAAAATGTGTTTGTCTGTTGTATTTGTTTTCGAGGTGCGCCACAATCAGAAAAAAAGGTCATAGGGAACACACACGCGTATCATATCATATCATATATATATATATATATATATATATATATATATATATATATATATATATATATATATATATATAAAGAAGTAGAGCGACCATACATGCATGTGATTATGTTCATAAACAGATTTTATGTTTATTTAAATTTTGGTGTAATTACCACAGCGCTCAATGTAGTGCAACTGAGTTGTACAAGTGATGTAGGTAATTTACTAATTATATACTATGAATAAAAAAGACGAGGAAAAAACTATACTTAGCCTCTTGTCTCTTTTTATTCATTTTGTCTTCTACACTCAATCTGAGAATATTTACGCACACGCACACAAATTAGTCAAATATATATATATATATATATATATATATATATATATATATATATATATATATATATATCTCAGCAAAACAAAGTTGAGCAGTCTATTTTTGGATGATAACGTTTTTGAGCAAGCAACGTATTCAGTATTAAATTTGGCTATTAATATCAAAGACCAAAATTAAATTTTTTTATCTTATCTCGGATTCGTAGATATGGTATCCCCTTGTCAGTCGATATGATAGCAAAATTTGATAATTTATATATATATATATATATATGTGTGTGTGTGTGTATTGATATAATAGGGGAAAAATGTTAGATTGATGATCCGAAGTTCTTTAGTATTTTGTTTTTATTTAAAAAAAAAAAAAACAGTGCTCGATACAGAAGTAGAGCCTAGATTATAGTAATTTCTGTGTCGCGATGGAATCATATTTAAAAAAAAAAAAAAAATATATATATATATATATATATATATATATATATATATATATATAATGCGTGTGTGATGTGTGTATGTGTGTGGGGCGTTTTTAAAATAGGATATAGAATCCCGACAGAGTTTTTAAGAAATCTGACAAATGGAAAACGTTTCATTGAAAATAGATCTCGACAATAACCGTGAATGTAGTTTTGAATCATTTCGTCAGAGTCGAACACACGCTGATCAATGAATCGAACACCAATTGCACAATAAATTGCACAACAGCTGCTTAATAAATGAACATTCAACTTACCTAATAAGTTATATAACTTATAAACGCTACATTTTCTAATTGGTATCACCCCAATCAAGGCAGTAAAGCCACTAAGACACAAGGAGCTGCAGGATGTCGAGGAATTAGGAACAAGAGAATTAATACTGAGCAGAAAAAGAAAAGCGTAACGGGGAGAACAGTAGATAGCGATTGACATTGCATTTAAATTTTTTATATTAAAGTTGGCTGGAAAGCATGGATCCGGAAGGGAGTTCCACAAGCGAGAAGTGCAAGAGAAGAAACTGTTAGCATAGAATTTACGACTACATCTAGCCATCTCAACTGTAAATTGATAAGATCTCGACGCTAGTCTAGTACTGCGCTTAAATTTAAAAAAAAAGATTAAAAAAATAAAAACTCTAGGCACCCTAGCAAAGAGCTTATCCGAACAATTACCATGGAAGTGTTTATAGAAAAGACAGAGGGAGGCAACCTTATGATGGTGGGAAAGTGACTGAAGTTGAGCCACCAGATCAAGACCAATAATATTGTTGATTCTTCTTTGGATCTTATCAAGGAGCTCAAGGTAAATAGCAAGGGTACAGAACCATATGTGGCTGCAATATTTTAAGCATGAGAGAATGGCAGACATACAAATATGTAAGATAGATTCTGAAGAGAAAAATTGTCTTGCGCGACATAGTGAACCAACTGACCTAGCAATAGATTCAATATAGTGAATTCATTAAACAAATACAAACTTTGAATATTACACACGCAAAAGGACGTTTTTCCTTTACTTGTAATCTCTCTTAAGTTGTATATAAAATCCGTCCTGGATATGACAATAAACTACATCCGCGTCTTTGGTAAGACGATAAACTAAATCCGCATTCCAGGAAAGACGATAAACTACATCCGCGTCCTGGGTAAGAGAATAAACTACGTCCGACAACAAGGCCTCTGATCAGGAGGTTTTAAGGCCCGTGGAACCACCTCTTAATTGCTGGTGTTCCCAGGTCCACCCTGACCCGGGGTGGTAGCATCTGTTAGGGTCCCAGCCATGGGCAAATAGTTAACCCCCAAATTAGGATCAAACATTATGAAAGTGTAAAAATAAGTTTTAATACCAGAAATACATTTTTGTAAAATTATTAACAGCAATGAGTTTTTGAAGGAAAAATATTACCAGCAGTGAATTTTTGAAAAAAGAAATATTACCAGCAATACATTTTGAAAAAAATATTACATGCAATATATTTTTGGAAAAAATATTACTAGCAATAAAAATCTTGTTGCCATTAAATAACCTGGTATGGACCTGGGAACACCAGCAATGAAGAGGTGGTTCCACGCTCCTCAAAACCTCCTGATTAGAGATTAGAGACGTAGTTTATCGTCTTACCCTGGACGTAGATGTAGTTTATCGTCATACCCAAGACGTGGGTGGATCTGGAAACACTAGCAATTAAGAGGTGTTCCACGCTCCTCAAAACCTCCTGATTAGAGACCTTGCTGTTGAACGTAGTTTATCATCTTACCCAGGACGCGGATGTAGTTTATCGTCATACCCAGGACGAGATTGAACCTGGAAACACCATCATTTAAGAGGTGGCCCCACGCTCCTCAAATCCTACTGATCAGAGGCCTTGGTGTTGAACGTAGTTTATCGTCTTACCCAGGACAGGCTGTTGGATGTAGTTTATCGTCTTACTCAAGACGTTGCATTTTTGAAAAAAAATACATATTATATTCATACGAACCTACCCTAAAAATCTTGATGGCATAATTCCTTGAAGTTGATAGGCCGTAACACAAAGAAACCAAACCAATCAAATGGTGACCCCGTCTAAAGATGGGTTAACATTAATTCGTCATTTCTTGATAGAGTTCTGATACTCAAGTTGTTTTTTCGTAGTTTGAATTGACGAATCATTTCCTCGGGCCTGTGCTCATTATTAGCCTTGATCTCTTTCGTAAAAAGAGTGTCGAAAGCATTCTCTCAACAACAACAACAAAAAAAAAACAGATAATGTGTGGATCTGTAATTTGCACTTTACTGTTATGACGTGACTCAACCTTCAAATCCTATTCACGCGCCAACCTTAAAAATGGTCCATGTTTTAAGAGAAACTCAAATTGGATGACCTTTGTTACCAGTTCTCAGGTCATACTTATGTTTTTCTAAGTATTATCCTTTTAAATAACATCTAATTTAAGATAACGTTATTCTGAATGGAGGTGGCACGGTAGAGTTGTGGATAGCGACTCGGATTGAGGAATCGGAGAGCCGAGTTCGAATTCCAGTCGAATCCATTGCATTCACTTACGTGCTCTTGGGAAAGGTATGAATCCTCTTCTTCTCTCCTCAGCTATTGGTAAATAGGAGGTCAGACCGGGTTCTATAGCCTTGGATGGCAACTGGTCTACTGCGGGAAAAATCTGCCTCGTCAGTCATGTATCGAAAGATACATGATCACCCAAGCGGGTATCATGCATGGCACATAACTGACTTATGCAACAAGTTTGATTTTTACTGAGTAATGAAAATCCATATGATTGTGAGTTCAATATGTTAAGACTTGCATGTCAAGTGTCACTCAGAGAATATAAAGCCCGAGGAAGAAAGAAAATGTAAGCGAAAAAAAGAAAGACAGAAAGGTTATATAAATGGAAAAGAATCGTATGCTGAAGAGAGATACAATAAGTAAACGAAAAAAATATAGAAAGGATTGCAAAAACGAAAAAAAGAATGACATTATGAAGAGAGAAAGAAAGAATAAGCAAAGGAAGGAAGATAGAAAAGAATTGTAAAAAACGAAAAAGAACAACATGAAGAGAAAAAGAAAGATAGAATAAGCAAAGAAAAAAAAGGAAGAAAAATAGAAAGGATATTAAAAACGAAAAAAACGACATAATGAAGAGAAAAAGAAAGAATAAGTAAACGAAAAAAAGAAGAATGATGGAAAGGATAGTAAAAAGGAAAAAGAACGACATGATGAAGAGAAAAAGAAAGATAGAATAAGCAAAGGAAAAAAGGGAGAAAATAGAAAGGATTGTAAAAACGAAAAAAAGAATGACATTATGAAGAGAGAAAGAAAGAATAAGTAAAGGAATGAAGATAGGATTGTAAAAACTGAAAAAGAACATGACGAAGAGAGAAAGAAAGAAAAAGTAAACGAAAAAAGAGAAAGGATAGTAAAAATGAAAACGAATGTTATGCTGAAGAAAGAAAGAATAAACGTAAAAAAATGGCATGCTGAAGAAGAAAGAATAAACGTAAAAAAAATGGCATGCTGAAGAAGAAAGAATAAACGTAAAAAAAATGGCATGCTGAAGAAGAAAGAATAAACGTAAAAAAATGGCATGCTGAAGAAGAAAGAATAAACGTAAAAAAAAGGCATGCTGAAGAAGAAGGAAAGACGAAGGGATAAGAGAGAAAGGTTGATAAAAACGAAAAAAGTAACATGCTGAAGAAAAAAGAAAACTTAATAAAGTTCACAGAGAAAAAAAGGAAAAGAAAAAGGGAGAAAAGAGAAAGGATGATATGAATGAAAAAATGACGTGTATTTCTTGCCTGCGACAATGAATAGTGTTCACATATACTAAAGTTAAAAGCCAGGATGTCTATTGTCGTTTTTAACTAGGCAGGAAAATCTTCCTCACCTGGAAAGATTAGCTCAACACAACCTTCTGTTTTCTCCTCACAAAACTTCCCACTTAAGGTGACCCGTCAAAGTTTGTTTCCTTTGTCGGGTTACCTCCTCCTAATTTTCGAAAACTGTTACTAGGAGACGCTATCAGGACTATAAATAGGCAGTGACATTCTCCGTCATCCTCTTTTTTCCTTTTGCACTCATAGATGGCAAGATGTGGCTCAAACGAGAAAAACGCTTTCCCACTGGGGAACGCACACGCACACGCGCACGCACGTACGCACCTTTCACTTCATTTTCTCTAGGATTTTCTCCTACGCCATACTACGCTGTATGGATGGTGGGAGTTGAAATTGAGATACTGTCCGGTGAATGTCGGTTTACGGTATACGGATGTTTTAAACCCATGCTCTGTTCGAGATATTAGAACATCCAGGAATGGGAGTGTGTTGTTACTCTCTTTCTCCATTGTGACCTACATAAAGCCAAATATTATTGCTAAGTGCCTGGATGTAACCAAATAAAAAATGTGCAAATAACAGTATTATAAAAGTTAATATGTTTTTCCTATTTAAGAGGGTGAAAGTACTGAATTTTAATAGCGTTGTTGAAATCAAAGTTGACCTTAATTGCCAAATAACAGGCAGCTTTATTGCTTCACAATCTGTATAGAAGGTCTGATCAAAAGTATCAAGACTGCTGTACTTCAGCTTCGTTAACATAGCAGTAATAGATTTAAAATACACAGTGAAGCCTCTTTATACAGATTGACCTTGAACTCTGTCGAACATTACTTATTTTATTATTATCGTTTCTTTTACAGTAAAGTTCATCCTCTACAAAGCCCAGGAAAAACAAGGTAGTGGGTTACGTTAGGGAGAAATTTGTAGAGATAGGAATGGAAGATAACAGTTAGCCTTAGCCTTGAACAGGTTAAAATTATAGTGATCAGGGAAAACATCCTCCTGGGAATCAGTTTCACAGAGCAGTGGTTAGTGGGAAGAAGCTTTTCCAGTTGAACTCACTTCTCACCATTGGAATACAGAGGGAATGTGCATGGTTTTTTACTATGTAACTGATATGGTGTTTTCTTGCCGTGAAGGTTTGAATTGGCAGGACCAAGGAATGTAATTCAACCAAGCACTTACTGTGGAAGTAGTGGTAGAGCAGCGAGAGGGTTGCCACATTCTGCCTGTGAGAGAGGTTGGAGAGTGGAAAATAATTTATCACCCACAAGGACACACTTTTGGACTCTATCGAGGTTGCAGAGTGAGGTCTGGGCAGCTCCCATCCAAATGTGACAGCAGTACTCCCTTTTTGGACTGATCTGACTCTTGTAAAGGTAGAGGATAGCAGGAGTAGTCAGGTACTTACTAGAGCAATACAGGAAGCCGATTATGTTACCTGCAATGGATCATATATACAAGTTCCACTTGATGTCAGGTGCAAGTCTGAGGCCCAATAGAATTTCAAGCCACGACAGAGATTCCATCAATGACCTTAGCTTGTGCAGCAGATGTTTCGCCAAGCACAAATTCACTAAGTCCAAAAACCACTATATTCCCCAGATCTTGCATCTTGCGTGTTTTTCTGCTTCAAAACTCACATCCCACTTATACAAGACATAAAGATGTTGAGGAAAACCAACAGAATACAATGAAGCAACTATTTGCTATCCTAAAAAAGGAATTCCAGGAATGCCTTCATCAATGGAAACAACACTAGTATGACTTAGAAAATTAAACACTGTGTTTAAAGAGTTCATCCAAACAATTATCATGAAAGTATTTATAGGAAAGACACAAGGAGTAACAGAAACATGGCTCTTAAGGATACCAAGAATTCCATAGACAGAGTGAATATGTAACAAGGAAGTCTTAAAGACAATAACAACAGAATGAACAATCATAGTTAGAATCTGAAAGACAGATTTGAAATTTCTCAGGTGTGTAAAGAGAAAAGAGGGCTTGGAAAATTGAACCCTCAGAGGACATATCGAAGGTAAGACTGATAGGAGAAGGCAGTAAGCCATCTGCCTGATGAGCTTGTGTCAATCAATAGTGGAATAAAAGGTGGAAGACTTAGCAAAGGGAAAAATGCTGTTAAGGTCTACAAAGAATAGGAAGTTGTGGAGAGCCATGTTTGCCCACATCCTGAAGGAATTTGGCACATAGATGATGATGATTCAGAATTTTAAAACAAGCCCTTCATATAGAATTTCAGTATTTTATTCCTTCATGTTTTTTTATAAAAATCAGTTCATGAATAAATTGTTGTTTATTAGGTGAAGACAACTTTAGCGTAAAGGAAGAATTTCTGGTTTCGTTTGTTTTGTTTCAATGGGTTATTTAATGCTGACAAATTTTTTTATTGCTTGTAATATTTTTTTCAAAAAATGTATTGCTGGTAATATAGTTTTTTGCCAAAAATGTACTGCTGGTAATATTTTTCTTTTTCAAAAATGTACTTCTGGTAATAATTTTTCCAAAAAAGTATTGCTGGTATTAAAACCTATTTTCATACCTTCATAGTGTTTTGACCCCTTTTGTTGGGTTAACTATTTGCCCATAGCCAAAACCCTGACAGGTGCTACCACCCCGGGTCAGGGTGGACCTGGGAACACCAGCAATTAAGAGGTGGTTCCATAATCCTCAAAAACTTCAGATCAAAGGTCTTTTTTGTTGGATGTCGTTTATTGTCTTATCCAGGACATGGATATATCATCATATCCAGGATGGATGCATTTCTGGATTTCACTCTCTGAAGGGCAAGCATATTAACAAATACAACGTTTCTTTATAAACCAGTCTTATTTATGCCTCACAATTTATGCATGGAAACCTCAGTCCTATTTCAATAGTTCGTTTTTTTCAGAATTAGGAACAGAAAAAAAGAATTTTATGGACCATGAGTAAGCAACAAGGAAGTCTTAAAGACAATGGTAATAGAAAGAACATTTATAGTTAGAATCTGAAAGACAGATTGAAATTTCTCAGGTGTGTAAAGAGAAAGGAGGGCTTGGAAAATTTAACCCTCAAAGGGCATATCAAAGGCAAGACTGATAGGAGAAGGATTAAAAGGTGGAAAGCATGGAACTGGAAGGGAATTCCACAAATAAGGCAGTAAAGCCACTAAGACGCAAATGGTTACAGGGTGTGGAAGAATTAGGAACAGAAACATTAATAACGAGCGGGAAGAGGAAAGAGTAATCAGGAAGACAGTAGATAGCGATTGACATTGCATTGAAATTTTTGCAGATTAAAGTTGTCTGGAAAGCATGGAACCAGAAGGGAGTTCCACAAATAAGGCAGTAAAGCCACTAAGATGCAAATGGTTACAGGGTGTGGAAGAATTAGGAACAGAAACATGAGCGGGAAGAGGAAAGAGTCATCAGTAGGACAGTAGATAGTTTCTAGATTATATACAAGGTTTCTCGGTTCTTTGAAGACATTTGCATGGATTTAGTAAAAGACACATAAGTCATGAAAGAAGAGATTTATTTGAGAAAAAATTGGCATGAATAATCTTTAGTCTCTTCTCAATGCTTCCCCTTTATAAATCCACCGTTACCATTGGATAATAAGATCTGAAATGTTGAAATACCCGAATCAGATGATCCTGATCTCTTTTGAACATTGTACGTGTTATGCTGGACATCAGAGTTTTTAAATTGTTTCCACCCAAATAGACAGTGAACTTTCTAGTCATGATGAACAGTCTTCATACGGTATGTTCACCGTTAAAACGTTTTCAGAACTAGAGTCTATATTTTTTCAATGGCATTTGAACTATCTGAATGAACCAGTCTTTCTGTAACTGACATATTTAAGTTGATAGACCTCTGTCTCGATAACACCTATTTTACTTTTAACGAAGTTTTGTACAGACAGACAATGGGGCTTCCCATGAGTTCACCAATTTCATCTATCCTAGCAAATCTTTTTATGGAAGATTTTGAATCTACAGCTTTGCGTAATTATGAAAACCCCATCAAAATATGGTGGAGGTACGTTGATGACACTTTTGTCTCAATGAAACATCAACATGTGGATTCCTTCTTACAATTCCTCAATAATCAAAATGAACATATTAAATTCACAATGGAATTGGAAAAAGATATGAGTCTGCCGTTTTTAGATTGCTTGGTTACGAGAAATGAAAGGAGAGAATTAAAAACAACTGTTTATAGAAAACCCACATCTACAGATCGATACTTGGATTTCCATTTGTGTCAAAGCCTTAGTACAAAAAAATGGAATTACAATAGGATTCTTCAAAAAAGCAGAGAAAATTTGTTCGGATCCATTGGATAAAAAACTTGAGCAGCAGAATGTAATAGATACCCTTCAAAAGAATGGATTTCTTAAACGATTACTGTACCAACAAGACAGAATAAACAACAATGCCATTGAGAAAAATATAGACTCTAGTTCTGAAAAAGTTTTAACGGTGAACATACCATATGAAGAAAACACATCAGAAGCTCTCAAACAAATTTTAAAACAGATATACGAGTTGTATTCTCCTCTTTCGACAATAGGAAGGACGCTCATAAGATTAAAAGATGAAAGAGCAGTTACAAGTAATGGCAATCTGATCTACAAAGTTAATTGCATGAACTACTCAACAAGTTATGTGGGCATGACTGCAAGATCATTTAAAGAACGACTGGATGAACATCGAAGACTTTGTGATAAGGTAATTTCAAATGAAAACGAAAAACAAAAATTGGAAAAAAAACTTCAGAGATTGCATTACATGTCATTACAGAAGGTCACAGAACTGACTTTGACCGTCTGGAAATAAAATTGACAAACCAAAAGCATTTCAACCAGAGTAACTGAACAAATGGTAATAGCAACTACAAAAAATGCCTGCAATAAGATAGATGCAGCACAACTCCACCCTGTCTGGACATCCCCACCCTTCAAAGAAAAAATATATGACAAAAAAAAAAAAAAAAAAAAACTTCTGTTACGTTGTAAATGTCATCAAGTCGGTTTGTTTTCCTTGATTTGAATTCTTAAGTGTTTCGAGCTTCTTTGCACTGTTTTTTTCTCAAATTAAGGACTGACCAAGACTGTCGAAATATTTCTATAAAAATAAATCATTCTTTGGAACTACAAGTTTTTTTCTTTTAATTATGCTTTGATACAAGGTCTGAAATGTTGACATGCCCAAATCAGATGATTTTTATCTATTTTGGACCTTGTACTGACTTCAGAGACTTTACAGTGTTATTTATGGGAGTATTGGTTGACTTATCTCTTGACTACGTCCCGTATGTAATAGTCCAACGGATTCATCTCTGAAGAACTAGGCCATATATTTAGGGTGATGTGATCATGTCAGTTGTAACTCATTCTAGTGTTGACCAAATTCTTGGAAGTCATTTAAGTCATGAAAGAAGATCTTTATTTGAGAAACAAAACATGAATAATTTTGAGTCTTCTTGATGAATCTATTTAATGAATTTGCCATTACCACCAATGACTGCTATGAGTTTGAAATGTTGCCCAAATCAGATGATCTTAATCAATTTTAGACATTATGCTAGTTCAAGTTATGGACTTCAAAGATTTTATAATTTTATAGGGGTATTAATTAACTTTATCCAACTCTGTAAAAAATTTGACAAGCCTATGAATGTGCAACTTTCAAGAAGGGTGCATTTTCTAAATCAACTATGGCCTACCTTTAAGGCAATGACTACACCTTGCCTTTTTATTTACCAAGTTAAGTTGATGTTTATCATCATTTATCTGAAAAAAAAAAATGATTGTCAGAACAAGTTTTTGGGTTTTTTTTTAAGCATTTCACCCCAAGCAAGTCAGGAGTGCTACTAGTATGCAAGGGGCTACAGAGAGTGAAAGTAAGGAAAAAGACTGGGTAGGGGGGGGTTGAGGAAAAAATAAAAAGAAGAATGGAGGGGAATAAAAAGAAGAACGAGGATCAAGGCATCAGAAGATGTCGATGGACGTTACATTTAAATTTTTGAAAATTATAGTTATCAAGGAAGCAAGAGGAAGGGAGTTCCACTGTCGGGAAGTGTGAGTGAAGCAAGAGTAGAAGATGCGGTTACATTTAACTGTTTCAACAGTAAAAGGGTGAGACTGACATACCAATCTAGTAGCATGCTTAAATTCATGCAGTCGGGGCACCAGTGAAAATAGCTCATCGGAGCAGTTGCCATGAAAATATTTTTAGAAAAGACAGAGGGAAGCCACAATACGTCTGTGATAAAGTGACTGGAGTCGAGACCCCAAGTCAAGACTGATTATGTTGCACATCCATCTTTGGATTTTGTTGAGAACCTCGAAATGAACAGTGGGGATGCTAGATCATATATGGCGACAGTATTCCGTGCATGGATGAATTAAAAAAAAAAAAGCTAAAGCTGTCCTCAAAGAACTGAGCAGTTTGGCATAAACAAAATTAGAGGATTTCTTTAAAAAAATGCAGTGCAACATTGATACCTTTAAGATCTAAAGCATAAGCAAAACTTTGAGGAACTTTATCAGCATATATGAACTATGGATTTTGCAGCTACCTATTGTGAGATGTCCGTTCGCATGCCCAAAAGAACTGCTCTGAAGGAGACTGTAGAAACTAGGTGTTAGGTTAAGTAATTTATTTTTCATGGCCAAATTTAGTACACTTTTGAACAGCATCTTGTCAGGTGTTCTTGGAAATCTAAAAAACCTGGTTTTGTACCAGGATGAAGAATAGTCAGACCATCTTTTATTAGAAAATTATTGTATTTATTAAATTATATGCAATCCCCCCCCACACACACACACACTTTACAGGCTTTGCAGTTTAAATACATTTGTTTTTTTTCTTTTCTTTGTTCCCACTTTTTTAATCTTAAGATATAGCCATGGGAAATTTTTTGGTGATTCCGTTCCAGAATTTCAGAATTTTATCCATTCCATCACCTTGGGGTCACCTTCAAGCTGGAAAGATACAAAACACAGTCAAAGACCAGAATCTTTGTGGAATTTGGTAAGGCATAACAGGAAACTGCACAGAAAATAAAGAAAAGTATATTTAAATAATCTGGGGTGAGGGCGGTCTTCAAATTTTTATTATGGCTTTCAAAATGGACATAAAAAGAACCCATATATTCACATAACACAGAAATATATTAAAATGAAGGAGGAGGAAAAGTAAAGATAAGAAAAAACTATTGCTTATTAGTTAGGAGGCACAGTGGAGTAATGGATAGTGGCTCAGATTGAAGAATCAGAGAGACGTTCAAATTACATTCGGAACCATTCAAGTGGCAGGGGCAATTTGAGAATGAGTTATTAACAATGGATTTTTTTTCTAGTGAGTCTGTGTGATTATGAGTGTATATGCAAATTAATATATATGGTGAATATATAGTATGCATACATAAACATATGTAATATGTACAAGTGTAATTATGTATGTACCGTGTGTGTGTGTATATATATATATATGTGTGTGTGTGTAAAAGACAATAGGAAAACTGTAATGGTAGCTGACGCGTTTAGATTAATGTAGACTTTTTCAAGGCAAAAAATGAAATGAATTTATTTAAACAAAGTAACTAATAATAACAAAAACAAAATGTCCTTAGCAACTGGAAGAATTTAGAGAACACTATTTTCATACTGTTAACTGAAATTACGTCAATTACTGTCATGTGTGGAGATATTGTTTTTATTGTTGTGTTGACAGATTCAACCATTTTCTTTTGATTTCTTGATACTGTTCTGTACGTTTGTTTGGGGGAGTAGTAATTATGTTAAGAAAAGAGAAATAGGGGAAAAAGCCTGGGCGTAGATTAATATTTGGGTAATTTATAAATATTGTCTTTTTCTACAGGTTAACTCTGAGAAATTTTTTATATTATATATATATATATGCACGCACTTCGTACAACTCAAGCACTCTTGATAATGAGGTATCCTTGTGAATTGGCAGAGCTAGCATTTCCTTTGACAAACTGAATGCATTTGTGGTTGTGATGTGGCATATCTCTAGGCACAAAAGTTAAGGTATATAAGTTGTGCGTTCGAGCCACCTTTCTCTATGTTTGTGAGACATGGGTACTATATAGAAGACATTAGGACATTTTCACCATCCATTGCCTGAGAAAGATTGCCAGAATTTGCTGGCAGATGCTCATTAGTGATGTTGAAGTTTTTGATGGGTAAGGGCATGAGCATTGAAAGTATCATCCTGCAAGATCATCTTAGGTGATGTGACCATGTGGTGAGAATGGAAGATCAGAGACTTCTGAAATAGCTTTTCTTAGTTACATCTAGCCATTTCAACTGTAAAATGATGAGACCTAGCTGCCAATTTAGTACTGCACTCAAATTCATCAAGTCTTAGAAAAAAAAGTTTATCAGAACAATTACCATGAAAATATTTATAAAAAAAGGCATAGGGAAGCTACATTATGGTGGTGGGAAAGAGACTGAAGCCATGATGTCAGGTTAGGCCCAATAACATTTCAGATTCTTTGCATTTTATCAATAATCTCTGGATACATAGCAAGAGTACCAGACCAGATGTGACAGATGAATGGTAGATTTATAAATGTATAAAATAGATTACTATCTTTTTTTAGCTGATCAAATGACATTTACTTGATGTTTGAGAATATTTATGTTCTAATGGCATCAATCTTGATAACAATTACACAGAAAGCTGACATAGAAATGCTAGTAACAGATACACAATGTTTCATTTAATTTATACCTTATTTCTTTGACACCACTCATATAAGATGAGACTCACATGATATATTATTCATATAAGTAGATTTTGAAAATTTTACCAACATCACTTGGTTTGGTTTGTTTTGTTTTACGGCATATCAGCCTCAATAGGTTATTTAATGCTGACAAGATTTTTATTGTTGGTTATATTTTTTTTCTCCAAAAACCTATTTCTGGTAATATTTTTTTCAAAAAATATATAGATAGCTGGTAATTTTTTTTTTTTTTTAAATATAATGTATTGTTGGTAATATTTTTTTCCTTCAAAAATTTATTGCTGGTAATTTTTTACAAAGTATTTCTGGTATTAAATTTATTTTTACACTTTCATAGTATGTTGACCTCAGTTTGGGGAGTCCACTAGCTTAGACCCTAACAGGTGCTATCACCCCAGGTCAGGATGGAGATAGGAACACCAGCAATTAAGAGGTGGTGCCATGCTCCTCAAAACCTACTGTCGGATGTAGTTTATTGTCTTACTCAGGATGCGGATGTAGTTTATCATCATAACTAACTGATGTTCCATCCTGGGTAATACCAATTCTATTGTGAAAATATTGACTTACCTAATAAAATCTGACACTATATAGAAATGTGTAAATTTGTTTTATAAATAATATAATAATATGAATAATGGCAAAAGGAAAACTTTTCTTTAACAACATGTTTTGTTCCCTGATGGACTTAATTCAAATGTCAGAATTTCATTTTGCCACATGTATTTATAAGCAGGAATAAAGATATCAAGTTTTCAAAATTTTTTAAAATTAAAAAAACTCCAAAATATTCTTACAGAT